AAAGGAGAAAAAAAAATAGTTGGGTATCAACACTCCCAGGATGGTATGGCAGTTCCATAAATTTGTCAGGAACTCAGGCTCTTTCCAGCTTTATCCTCCTTTGTCTCCCGGTTGTGACTCTTACTGGCATAGCCCAAGGTGGCTGCTGGAGTACCAGCTATAGTGTTCTCATCCTAGATGACGAGAAGGAGAAAAGGGAAGGAGCCAAGCACATTCCCTCTTTAAGTATACTTCCAGCAAGTTTCACATACCACTTCTGTTTACATCTCATTGGTCGAAACTTAATGGCTGTGGGCACACCAAGCTGCATGGGAGGCTGGACATGTTGTCTTTATTCTATGCAGCCACTTGCCCAACTAAAAATCAGGGTTCTTTTCACTGAGAGAAGGGGAGAATAGATAATGGGTCAGAACTACCAGTCTCTGCTACAGCATTCAGTCATTCTCTCAGTTGTCTGTTCATTCATACACTGATTCATTCATATGTCACTAGTGCCAGGCATTGTGCTAGATACTGGTGGGCCACAGTTGCTCTTCCAGCACATTCCACTGTTAACTTCAGATTTCAGGACACTGAACCACGGCTCCCAGGTATGCCCCAGGAAGTCTGTTCTTTGTTCAAGCCAATCCTGATTTATTAATTTCCCAGTAGTCTGGCTCAGTTTTGGAGCCTCCCTTACGGTTATGATCCATTTATTAGAATGCCCAGTGCTTTCAGTTGCCTCATAGAAGCCCTGAGATTAGAGGCCCTGAGCTGTAGGGAACGAGCATAGAATTAACTTTTTCTTCTGCTTGTTTTCCATGGCCCTGGAAATAAGCTGGGGCTCATTTAACCAAGTGCAATATCATATAACTGGGATGCATGGAAAGGAATGAGGCTTAGGTAGAAGATCTGATTAGTAGGATGGTTTAACATGACTTTCTTAGAATTAATTTTGAGGGAAGAGGTGGAAGTACCACTGTTTAGGGCTTTTAAAATGTCCTAGGACAACGTAGCACATTCATTCATTCAACAAAACTGCACCTGAACATTTACTAGGTCCATGACTATGCTGTGGGCTGAGGATACAAAGGTAAGTAAGACAGTCTCCATCCTCTAGGGGTTCCGATCCAGGGCAGTGGTTCTGCTTCTTGGGGAGGGTGACCATGTGACACTCAATGGAGCACCTTGTCTCATTCTCTACCTCCCACCCTGAGTGTAGGTGCCAGACATGGAAACAAATTATTACAATATTTTGGAGGAACAAGGTAGAGAACACCCATTCTGTGCCTGGTGGTGGGGGGAGGTGCCAGCAAAGGTATCTCAGAGAAGGTGGCTTTGAACTGACTTTTGAAGGATGAATGCGAATTCTCTATGTGAAAACATGATGGAAGGAAAGGGTAACATGGACTGCAAGAACTATATATAAAATGTCATGGAATGAATGAACACACCCAGGAAGAGTATATAGACTGCGAGTGGAGCAGAAACCAGCACAGAACAGGGCAAACGTCAGCACTTAAGGTGGGGATGGATTGAGGGGATGGAAGAGCCAATAAAGGTGGCAAAGAAGAAAGAAACAATTAAAAAAAAAAAAAAAGCATGAAAGAATCCTGGAGAGAGAGGTGTTTCTGGAAGTCAAGGGGAGAGAATGTTTTCCAAAGTGGAGGTGGCTAGGAGCAACAGATGTTTAAGGTCAGATTAAGAGGATGGGTAATAAGAAGTGATAGGTTGAAAGTCAGGATGACATTAGTGACCTGCTGGGGCAGGAATTAGAGCAAAGTGAGAGTAGGAATTGATGGAGTGAAGACAAGGAGTGATACTCTGTCAAGAGGTTTGGTAGTGACAGGCAGGAGTGAGAGGTGCAGGCAGGAGATGCCGGGCAGAGAGCAGACCTGATGAGATGCGAGCTTGCAAGGAGGGTGGGGAGAGTGCTTGCATGGGCAGACAGCTGAGCTGCAGAGGGGCAGTAAGGAAGGATGAGCTCTGTTTTTCAGGTCATTTAGAAGAGAGGAAGTTGAGAGAGAATGTGTCTGATGGCCTTCATTGTCTCTCTGGGGTAGGATGTGAGGCTGTCTGCTGGAGGGTGACAGGTTAAGCTGGTTGAGGGATGCTAAGGAGAGTGAACTTTAGTTTCCCGCATTCCGTGAAAACATCTCACACCAACTTTCCATCCAACGTCCTGCCCCAAATAGTTACTGTCTTTGTTTGCTAGGGCTGTGTTATGGATTCAGTTGTGTCCCCCCAAAATGTGTATCAACTTGGCTAGGCCATGATTCCCGGTATTGTGACGTTGTCCACTATTTTGTGATCTGATGTAATTATCCTGTGTTGTAAATTGTTACCTCTGTGATGTTAATGAGGCAGGATTAGAGGCAGTTATGTTAATGAGGCAGGATATAATCTACAGGATTAAGTTGTATCTTGAGTCATTCTCTTTTGAGCTACAAAAGAGAGAAGTGAGCAGAGAGGAGGGGGACCTCCTACCATCAAGAAAGAAGAGCCAGGAGCAGAGCATGTCCTTTGGACCCAGGGTCCTTGCACTGAGAAACTCCTAGACACAGCGGAAGTTTGACGACAAGGACCTTCCCCTAGAGCTGACAGAGAGAGAAAGCCTTCCCCTACAGCTGGCGCCCTGAGTTCAGACTTTACCCTCTGAGACTGTGAGAGAGTAAATTTCTCTTTGTTGAAGCCATCCACTTGTGGTGGTTCTGTTACAGCAGCACCAGATAACTAAGATAGGTTGCCATAACAAAATACCACAAAGTAGCTTTAAAGGACAGAAGTATATTTTCTCAACAGTTCTGGAGGCCAGAAGTCCAAATTCAGAGAGTTGGCAGGGCTAATTTCTGTCACCTCTAGGGGAAGATCCTTCCTTGTCTCTTTTAGCTTCTGCAGCTCGGCATTTCTTGGTGTTCCCTGGCTTGTAGATGGATCCTCACATTCTGTCTTTCCTGTGTGTGACTCCTTTTATAAAACATCACTTAGAAAGGATTAGGATTAGGACATACCCTATTCCAGTATAAGGAGCCCTGGTGATACAGTGGTTAAACGCTCGACTGCTAACCGTAAGGTTGGTGGTTTGAACCCACTCTGAGGGAGTAGGAGGTCCTCCTCCTCTCTACTCACTTCTGTCTGTGGCAGTCAGCTTCGGTAAAGATTACAGCCTTGGGAACCCTATAAGGCAGTTCTGCTCGTCCTGTAGGGGTGCAATGAATCAGAATTGACTTGATGGCAACAGGTTGCGTTTTGTTTTTTGGTACTTCGATATGACCTTGTTTAATTTAATTGATAACATCTGCAAGGAAAAACCCTATTTCCCCAAATAAGGCTGCATTCACAGGAGTAGGAGTTAGGATTTGAACATATTTTTGGGGGGACACTATTCAATCCAAAACAGTTACCTTCCCAGCCTGGAATATGTGTTTTAAATAGAAGATGTTGTGTGCTGTCAAGTCGATTCCAACTCATAGCAGCCCTATGTGACAGAGCAGAACTGCCCCATAGGGTTTCCTAGGTTGTAATCTTTATGGGAGCAGATTGCCAGGTCTTTTCTACCACTGAGCTGCTGGTAGGTTTGAGTTGTAGACCTTTAGGTTAGCAGCCAAGCACTTAACCATTGTGCAACCAGGTCTCCTTTTGAAGAGAAGATGCACGTTTTAAAACATTTGTGTTTTCAATAATCTTTAGCATCCAGTGAGAAGGAGAACGCTCAGCCCTTTGTGGTCCTGCCAAAGGAATTCCCGGTGTACCTGTGGCAGCCGTTCCTCCGAGATGCCTACTTCTGCTTCCAGGAGCCCACCGACCAGAAGAAGTTTAGTGCGCTCCTGAATGACTGCATCAGACATCTAAACCATGGTATGGCTTTTTTTCCCTAACTTCTCCAGCGAGGCTGGTTTTCTGAGTTGCCTGGTCAGTCATCTGTTACACTGACTCCTAGAAAGAGCTATAGAGGTGCTGCCTCAGGGACATTCATGGTGGGAAGGAGAGGGAAACCAAGTGAAATGAGAGTTTTGTAGACAAGGAGTGTGGTCTGCCTGCTGGTTGTGTAGTCAGGTCTGGGTAGACAGGATGGGGACCAATGATCTAGGGACAAAGGTAGGCAGCATTCAGAGTGCTGTATATTCATGTATATAATTTCTTATCCTTTTTCTTGATTTAAAAAAAAAATCTAATTGCCAGCAAGAATGTGCCAGTTGTCCCCAGCAAAATCCTAATCCTTACGACATTTCTGGCTTAGTCCCAGCTTCATTTCTAAAATAAGTTACTCACTTAAGATCACTAGCACTGTTGCTTGTCACGTAATACTTTTTCCAATCAGTGGTTCTCAAACATCAGGGTGTATAAGAATCACCTGGATCCTTAAGACACAGGTTGTTAAAGCACAGGTTTCTGGGCCCCACCCCTGTTGTTGTTGTTGTTGTTAGGTGCTGTCAAGTTGGTTCCAACTCATATCAACCCTGCAGGGCGAGTAGTACTGCCCCGTAGGGTTTCCAAGGAGCAACTGGTGGATTTGAACTGCTGACCTTTTGTTTAGCAGCTGAGCTCTTAACCAAATATTCTGATTTCCTGGGGTCTGGGGTGGGCCCCGAATTTGCTTTTCTAACAAGCTGACAAGTGATGCTGATACTGCTGGTCCATGGACCACACTTGAAGTGACATTGCTTTAGGCCATTGTGCCTCTAGGTATGGATTTAATTAATATTACTTCTATTAAAAAAAAAAAAAAAGCAAAGAAATGTTTCCATCCAATATGTGATGTTTTTGATGAATTTCTTTGAATGCTGGTTTTTCTGGACTCCATGAAGCCTTTGGTTAGAGATAATTGAACTTGTCATTCTTCGCCAGTTGGAAAGGCAGCCAGTCAATCAGTCAAATCTCATCAAGGGTCTACTCTGCACTAGCCTGTCTCTGGGTGTTAGGGACAGAGTAATGAGCCATGCAAAGTTCCTCCCTCAAGGAGTCTAAATTCAGACTGGGAGGAGGACAGACACGTGCACAAGATCATTTGGCAGTCATAGAAGTTAACGAGTTACAGAGTAACTAGAAGTCACTGCCTAGTGAAGAAGGAAGTGCAGTACTCTAGACTCATCAGCAGAGGCCTGTTTAAGGAGATGACATTTGAACTGAGTCACCTCATCCATTTGTGCCTTTATTCCACTGTACATTTACTTTAAAGCTCTGAAACTTCCCTGACAGGGTCAGTCCCTCAGAGTGAGCATCACTAGTGATGAATCTCAGCCTGTTCTGGATTTCATTTGTGTATCCACAGAAGGCTAATGGAAAAAGATAGTGTCACTCTATTTTGCTATAGCAACTCTGAGTAACATCAGTCATAATTTTGGCTCATAACTGTTAGAGCCTATATAAAAAGCAGACCCTTATTAATATCTTGCCTTGTGGTTCTGATGTTTTAGTGACAAGTATGGCACAGCACTGCCTGCTCTGTCTAGCTTGTTTTCCAGTATACCTACACCTCTGTGTTCAGGGCCCTAGTCTAGTATGAACATGCAGTTGGCACTAAACACAAGAACCACAAAGTTTCACTAAGCAGAGAATGTTCTTGGCCCAGCCAGATGGGACTTGCTGCATTCTCCCTTCAAGGTGCATAATAGGAATTTCTCTGGGGAATTTTTGGATGTTATGTAGCCTGCATTTGGGCTCCATTTATGGAAGATTTCCGTTGATTCAAAACCCAGCTCTGCTTTCCAGTATGTTATTGACAGCACCAAGAGAAGAGTGTCCAGTCAAGTTGCCCTGGTTCTGAGTTATATTCCTCTGTGCAGAAACCAGTTGTTCTCACTCTGAGGCTTTATGTACACTTAAAGTGACTTGGTGTAACTTCCCATAGCTCCAGTCAGAACCAAAGACGATCTTAACGTTGTAGGTAACAGTCCTTGACTATCAGGGCCAATGCCCTCATGAGTCTTTCCCTTCTCACCTGTGTTTCTGTTTTTGACACTCAGCTCTAGGGACTTTTGCGTCTTTTACTGGATCACTTTTTCTGTTCTACTCTTTGCCTGTTATTCATTGTATGCTCTTTGGTAATCACTAAGACATTTTCAGAAGTTGCCAGTTAACTATTTTTTTCAATTAATATAGAACAGTTTAGAAATAAATGTAAAATTAGGGCTTGTGGTAAGGACCAGAGACCCTAAGGTCTTTGAACTGATGAATTCAGGAACACTTTTTCTCTTCTTGCAATTTCATGTACCAAGGAATGATTATCCTGAGCTGTAAGAACTGACTAGTATTAATAATGATCTTTCTTCCATATTGCATGTGTACAACCCTCTATATTTGTCAAGAGTTTTAACTATATCCCTGTAACTACAATGATTATATTCTTCAATCTAGAATTCTGAAGAACAGGACTGAATTTTGGACAACAGGACTGCCTTGGAATATCTTGGCTCTGTATGAAAAAAGAACTGGTTGCCGTTGAGTTCATTCTGACTCATGGTGACCCCGTGTGTCAGAATAGAAATGTGTTCCATAGTTGTTTTTTTTTTTTTAAATAACATTGTGTTTAAGGTGAAAGTTTACACAGCAAATTAAGTTCTCATTTAACAATTTCTACACAAATTGTTCAGTGACATTGGTTACATTTTTCACAGTGTGCCAACATTCTCATTATTCCCATTCTGGTTGCACCATTTCCAGTAATCTAGTTTCCCTACCTCCTTAACTTCTTATCTTTGCTTTAGAGTAATTTTTGACATTTGGTCTCATATAGATGATTTTTTAAAGGAGCACATTACTCATGGGTGATATTCTTTATTTTATGATCCAGTCTGTTATTTAGCTAATGGGTGACCTTAAGGGATAATTTTGGTTTAAGGTTTAAAGAGTATCTCAGGGCAATTCTTTGGAAGATTATTCTAGTCTCAACTGGTCCAGTAAATTTGGACTTTTTAAGAATTTGATTTCTGGTCCACATTTTTCTCCTGTTCTATCAGGATCCATCTATTGTGGCCCTGATCAGAATGGTGCGTAGTGGTAGCTGGGTACCATCTAGTTGTTCTGATCTCAGGGTAGATGAGTTCATGGTTCATGTAGACTGTTAGTCCTATAGACTACTTTCTTTTTTGAGTCTTTTGTTTCCTTCTTTCTCCTATGTTCTGGACAAGTAGAGACCAATAGTTATATCTTAGACAGCTGCTTGTAAGCTTTTAAGACCCCAGCCTCTGCTCACCACTTTGGAATGTAGAATATATATTTTATGAACTATATTATGCCGATTAACCAAGTTGTCCCATGAGACTATGGTCCTAAACTCCATAGGATTTCAATGGCTGATTTTTCAAAAGTAGATCACCAGGACTTTCTTCTAAAGTGACGCTGGGTGGACTCGAACTTCCAGCCTTTCCTTTAGCAGCGAAGAGCATTAACCGTTTGTACCGCCCGGCGACTCCATATAAGTCCCCCCTATATGAGAGATGTGGGGAGATTGCTGACTTCTATATCTAGGCAAGTAGAGTAAGGGCTCATCAGTCTGCTGTTGCTGTTCCTTCATTGCCTCTCAGACCACCTTCTGTATCTGCTGAGAATGGGTCCTAGACATTCTAGCAGCTGATGCTCGGCTATTGTTGATCCTGTGTACTCAGAAGTCCCCAGGGATCTGTGAGGAAAATAATTTCATTCCCTTCGTGGTAAGTTCCACAAAGAATACCTGTCATTTGGGTTTCCTGAGATACATCCCTTAGTGCTCAAATTCCACTATGACCCAGCCCACTTGCCACAGGAATGCTGGGTTGAAATAGGTCCAAGTATCCTCATCGATTCCTTCCTGATTATGGAACTGCCCATGTATGAGGTGGGTGAATTCCCTATTTAACCGTGACAAGGGCCTGATTACATCCTGTTCTTTGACAGTAAGGGTGCCTCCTAAGGTAGTTAAGGGAAAGTAGAGGGCTCCATGCTCCTCCTTCCTTTAGGGGAGAGAGATGCCACTACATGCCTTAAAGATTATTTACACTCCTAAGGAGCATAAAAAGGAGCCCCGGTGGTGCAATAGTTAACCGCTTGGCTGCTAACTGAAAAGACGGCGGTTCAAACTCATCAGTGGCTCCATGGGAAAAAGAAAAGACAAGACAATCTGCTACTGTAAAGATTACAGCCTAGGAAACCCTATGGGGCAGTTCTACTCTGTCATATAGGGTTGCTATGAGTCAGAATTGACTTAATGGTACACAAAAACAATAACAAGGAGCATAAAGGTGGGTTTTTTTGGCACCTCTTCCCTGAGCAGCCATAAGAAAACCCCACAAGATTAATCTTCAGCAGAAATCCCACTCCAACTCACTGTACTCAATATCAAGCCCACTCCATGACATATGCCCAGAGCAGCTGCTGTCCTTTGTCCCTCTTGGAATCACACTGCAATCACCTGTCCCTAATCAGGGAAGGCCAGGGTCCTGAACATCTGCTGCCATGAAATGGGACTAATATAGAGCCAGGATGTTCCTAGACAGTCCTGTTGTCCAAAATTCCATCTTGTTCTTCAGAATTTTAGTTTGCAAAATAAGATCATTGTAGTTACAGAGATCTAGTTAAAACTCTTGACAAATATAGAGGGTTATCTACATGCGATATGGAAGAATGACCATTATTAATACAAGTCAGTTCCTTTAAGATAAACATTCCTTGGCATGTGAATTTGCAGGAAGGAGAAAAAATATTCTTGGCAGGAACAATAGGATACGTGAGGGCCAGGAAGTGAGACAAAATATGGGCCATTAGAAGAAACTGAAAGAATTTTTTGTGGCTAGTGCTTAGAGAGGAGAGAGAAGCCAAGTGAGGATGGGGAGATGGGTTGGGGCCAGGCTATCAAGGGTTTTGTGATGCATATTAAGGAG